GGGTTGCGGTGGGTGTAGGGGAATGGGTGTGTGAGGAGGTTGGACGTTGTGACAAGAGTAGTAAGTGGCGAGGAGAACGAGGTGAGGTTGGTGCGGGACTAGGTCTTTTGACCCGCCGGCACTTAAAAGATGTGCCGCTTTAAGTACAGCGGCCAGAGTGAGGTTATATTAAATCCGGACTCTTTCTCCCATACTCCCTCTTAAGTGAGTTTTCATCTAGCTTAACTGGAGGATTTATCTGGTTGTTCAACTGAGTCTTACGGAGTAGTAGGGTTTTGAGCTGTTGTCCACACTGTAAGCTTAGAGAAATGGTGCTTCTCCCTCAGTGCTTGTAACAGAAATGCCCTCAAGTTAAAGCGTTTCTTCAGCGTGTGCTTTGTGGATTTTCTTTCTGTGCTGATAACAGAGAAGTGGTAAACTCTGGAGTGAAAGGCAGTCTCTGAGTCATTCACCTTGCAGCACCTTCTCTGCAGGTTTCAACGTAAGTGCTAGGAATTACTGGTATCAGACTGGTTTCAGATAATGTTTATTATCATGACTGAATTCACTGTCTTCAAAATTTCAGCACCACCATTGGTCTCACAGTGCCACACGCAATGGTTTGTGCTGTTGAAATGAGAGCCGCACCGTTTCACTGCATGGTGAAGAGCTTGCTTTGTTAAGGCTGTGCTGGGAGGCATTGCTCCCTCTCCTGGCCTTTGTCACCCCAGCTTTCTGCTTGCTCTGTGGAGCTGAAGTGAGGACTCGTTCTGCTACCTTTGTGTTACTGGGGGCCTAAGCAGACTTGCTGGCTGCTCTTGAGAAGATGATGACTAGGAACTATTTCCAGCTATACCTTGCGCTTTAGGCTGGATTTTTTTGAGGGGGACCGGCTGAACCGAGAATGCCTGTAGGAGCAGGGGCAGATAATGCCAGTCATGATGTACATTGTTTTTATAACCAGTCTCCTTTGAAGACTTCTGGACAGATTTAAACCTTTCATCTGGAAACTGTGTCCTTTTCCCCATGACCCTATCAGAAAATGGTCTGGTTATTCTTTGTGAAGAAAAATAAATGAAGTCGTGTCAGGTTGTGCAGTAGGTACCAGGTGTTCCTCAGTGAGTCAGAATCTCCCCCTTCCTCCAGTTATTTAGCAAAAATACAGTCTTTTACTGGACCTTATTCAGTATAAGTGTGTATATTAATAAGTATTTGAGTTTATAAATTTAACTGTGCTACTGTGATTTAGTATTCTGTGTTAATTAGTAATTGTGTGTGCCAGTTTATGAACTCTGCTTTACTCAGGTGGTTGTGCGGGTGAGTGTAGTTCTTAATTTAAAAAATCAAGAGACCTCAGAGACTAATATCTTTACATGTGTTGTTTTAAGGTGGCCACTGATTAAAGGTGAAGCTCCCATTCCTAAGGATATGCAGTTGCAGTACTTCCTTTGGAAGAATTCAAATCCTTTTTTTTTTTTGTTAAGTTTTATGTATAGTTTCACAAGACAGCCTGAGCCAAATGAACAGCTTGCTGCTCTTTACTCCCACTAGTTATTGAGTTGTTGCTGGTGTTTGTTTGATCACATGAGAGTCCAAATTCCACTCGGTGAAGTAGCAACAAAATAAAGAACAAAACAATACCACCTGGCAAGATGTTAACTTTTTTTTTTGGCTGTTTTGGGATGTTGAATTGGTTTATGTAAAGGCAGATGAGCAGCAGAGCTGGTATGGGGAAGAGATGGCTTCTGCTGGGATGGTGAAATTATGGAAGGAGGGGACTGGGAGCAAGACCTCCTTGCCTGCGTGGCAGTGAAAGATGGTAATTTGCTTATCCATAATATGAGATAATGCTGAAGCCTTAAAGCTGTCCTGAGTCCGCTGGCATGACAGAAGAAACTAGACTGGTTGTAGTGTGAGTGTTTGCAATTAATTTGGCACCTCCATTGTTTTTCTCTGTAGAATGAGTCTTTCTGCCTCCAAATGCTGAAAAAAAATCAGAAGGCTTGAGCTCCTGCCTATTTTTTTCCTCTCTTTTCTGCGCTAGGGTTCTCCAGCATGTGGCGGTGCCACAGGGAAGCCTTTGTTCCTGCTGCCTGTAGTCTGCAGATAGGAATTAATCTTGTGAGCTATCATCCTTTCCTTCAGACTCTGTAGGGTTAAAAAATCAGAGCATTAAAATTGCTCACTGCTAATAAAAATTACACTCAGACATACAGTAAGATTATTTTTGTGGTTTTAGGAATGAGCATTTTTTTGCAGTCGGGACCTGCTGAAACATCTTTCAATTGTGTAATTGATAAATGAGGCAGCTGTGAGCAGAGGCAGTGAAAGTTATGTCTGAAAGCTACTTTGCTGACTCTACAACTCACAGCCTTTCTTCCCTTCTGCAGGAAGGAGGGGGAATCTTGTGGACTTTTTTTTTGATTGCTCTTTTCCTGCCACAATGGGATCTGTGGCAGGGGGCACAGTTGCGAAGAAGCAGTCATATCTCTCTCTTGCAAGAACTTCAACAGTCAAGGACTTAATAAACACAGACCCTACAAGATATCTCCATGATGATGTTAAAAAACTAGCATAACAGAAGTTTTAACTATGTTAGCTGAAGGATGTTTCATTTTCTCTCTACAGGTTGCAATGTTGTTATTGCCTCTCGTAAATTTGACCGATTAAAAGCTGCTGCAGAAGAACTGAATAATACATTTTCTTCCATGAGTCCTGCCAAAGTGACTCCTATACAGTGCAATATCCGCAAAGAAGATGAGGTAAAGACAGCGATCTTGTTCTGGGGCTTCACATGTCACAAGCATGTTGTGAATACAAATTCTCAGGTCTCCAAAGGTCTCTGGCCCTCTCAAAAGTGGCTGAGATTAGGGGACAGGTGCAGTAACACACTGTTAAATTGATCGAGGTAGAGGTTTGCTTTCTAAGAGAAGACCGTTTGTTAGCCACCTAAGCAAGAAAACATTTGTCATTGCTAGTGTTTTTCTGATCATGCATACATATTTCAGATATTTCTGGGAGAAGCAGGCCTTGGGACTGGCATGGTCTGCGGCCGAGCTGGAGCCCTCCTAGTGCGGTTCTGTGTCACATTTCTGTGACAGCAGAGAGGGGGCGTTAACTTGTGAAGATGGAGACCTCGGAAGAATTCCTTCCAACAGGAAGTCATAGCATGGAATCTCAGTGCATGTGGCTTGACACAAGTGCCCCGAATTGTCACTTTTGCTAGTATTAAAGAAAAAAAACCAACCCACAGGTATTATTTTTAGCCACATTTCAGTTTTGGTTACAATTTGAGGTGTGCCTCATTACAAACTATTGCTATCACAGTTGATTTTTTTCTTTTTTCTTCATATTACAAAAAATGGAAGATCATGAGCAAAAGTATTTAATTCAGGTTCCTCAGAAGTCTGCATTTACCTTTTAATTTTTAATCTGTGTAATTAAACATTTACAAGTCCAGCATCAGGTTGGACTTTAACTTATTGAAGACAGCTAGAAAATATTTCGGTGACCACTGATTGCTACATTTCTCTTAGCCTTTCAAAGTCTTTGTTAAATTCTAGCCTAACTTAAAGAAATGTTAATGACCTTCAGTAGCTATGGAAGATTCTGGAAGCGTCCTAATATACAACCATAAAGCAAATAAAAAATAAGATTCTTCCCTCATGGAACAGCTCATGTCATAATATATTTATAGTGATATACTTAGACTTTCTCTCCTGAAGGAGGTGAACCCTGAGGCTGTGCAGTATTTCACTTTCACCTACCAGTGAATTTTAGGTTTGTATTTACTAGGATCAGCGGTGCAATATAATAGCTTATGACAGATGTCAGAGGGCAACTTACATGATTAAAGCTACAGGGAAGAAAAGAGGTAAAGAGAGAAAAGGCTTAAGCTTTCTTTCATGTCACTGTTCTTGCAGAAAGTACTCTGGCATGCTTAACAACCTTCTGGACGTGAATCCTATTTCTGCATCAGTTTGAAAATGATTTAGTGGGACCTGCAGTGTTCCGTGAGATGGTAGGGGTCTTGGATGGTGACATGAGGTAATGTCCACTAAATGAAATACCATTCCTCCATTGTTTCCTGCTTATTAAGAGTGGCTAAACACATATTTGACAAAACAGTCTTAGATGGCTTTGGAAGCTTTTTTGAAGGTGCTTTTAAAGTCTCATTTATAGTGCTCTGTAAAGTGTTTAGGCATCATTCTGTGTTACCAGTAGCTGTGCTGCTACTTGGAGAAATTTCTGTCTTTGCTATTACCCTGCAGTTTCATCATAGGATTATCTTCTTTTCAGTTTAAAGTTCTACTCATTTACAGACACACCAGAACTTTTTTAGGACTTTTCATACGATATTGGATTAGCCTGTATCAGGGGTCTACTGCGAGTAGAAGTTGTTATAAACCACTGTCATTTCATATCCATATCTGTTGAAGAGAGGGTTCAGAGGATTAAGGTAGATTAAACTCCAGTCTTGAATTCTTCAGTCGTTGACTCAGTCTTACAGTTTGACTCACTTTAGTTCTCCAACTGCTCTTACTTCTTTCTGTTGAAGTCTTATTTGGAAAAAAATTACTGTGAAAATCTCATAAGCCTTTTGTGGAAGTTTTGAATAAGGAATGCAATTTCTGTTGCATGTTGACATGAGAACTTAAGTGTATGCTTTAAACAATTATTTATCCATTCCAGATGCCCATCTCCAAGACCAGGTATTTTTACTGGTTGTCACAGGATTTTTCCAGGATGTCACAGGAGACATCCTGTGATTTTTTTGTTCTTTAGCTCTTGTTTTTCTGGCCCTGTCCTCTGTTATTTCTTTAATGCTGAGATTCTCAAAGATTGCTAAATCCTGACCACTTGTTACTTAATTTCTAAAATCACTATTGGACCAGAATTGTATGGATCAAATTTTCAGCTTTTAAATTTGTAGTGAGGATAGCACTTCCTTACACTTAGGTGCTTAGTGTTTGTAAGTTGAAGCTAGGTAAACTCAAATTAAGAGTCGGTAACTTACACTGTTAAAAACCGTCAGAACAGAGGGATGTAGTTTTTTCACAATTCGTTGCTCACTACTGCTTATTTATTATATTTGCTAAGAGTAGCAATGCTGAATAGCTTTTTCTAATTTGCATTTAATTACCTTGCAGAGACTAGAGAAGTGCCTGTCTGCTTTTACTTGTATTCAAAGAGAATCACGCATCCACTTTCAAAACCTATTCCATTCTTAACCTGAAATTCAGTGCCTGGGACCTGGAGTCTTAGGAACAGGGATCAGTAAAAGATGTAGCGAAGGATTTTTCTAGGCTAGGAGATAAATCTTGAGTAGAGGCAACACAGCAATGTAACTCTCTTCAGCATTTTCACAAATGCAGGAGTAGCTTCCTGTTTACAGTGGAAGATGGGGTGAGAGGGCATTGAAACTTCTGGCTTTTCTGCTGAAAGAAACAAGACTTATACGACTGTGTTGGTTCTGTCTGCTACTCATTAATAGCTTTACAACTCATTGTCTGGTTTCAGCTTAGTATGAGTAAAGAATATTTACTCAGAAATTCACGAATGCGTGTTCTTGGCTAGAGAGGACAGCCTCTACAAGTATTCCCTGTGGGCCATTACATCTTCTTTCTCAGCTCTTATACCAGGTACCAAAGAATATGTGAGGGAGAAAGACTTTGTAAGTGTTTCAACAAGGGAAAAAACTTAGGAGTTCAAGCCTCCTTAGATGTCAGAACTGATCCATTACAAGCTGCAAAGCTCAGGAAGCCTCCTGAAGAACTACATAATTAATTTAGTGTATCCTTCTGTTTGACATTTCACGGAAACCTTTCGAAGAGTACATCTCTTAGAGGAAGCCACCAAGATCACCTCTAGGAACAAGCTGGCTGTTCTTAATATAGAATGCCTTTTTAAATTTTTTTTTCCATCCCTCCATCTCTATCATAGTTCTGCATTTCACTAAAGGCCCCTATGAATTCTATCCTGGTTTTAATTTTATAATTGGGCAAACTAGAGGGAGGGACTTTGAATAAAGGAGATCTAAGGAAGATGAAAGTGCTTTCAAAATTGCCAGATTATTTTTTCCTCATATTTCAAATCTTAAAGTAACTGACCTGCTTTGTAGATGACACAGCTCGCTGCTCCTGTGTGCCCTAGTTTGGATCTGTGAAATTTGTGTCTCCTCATATAGTGCAGTGTGTCTGTTAGAGCTCTTTCTGGCCTAGGAAGAGTCAAAGAAGGTGCAGTGAATTAGTTTCTGCACAAGCTTGATGGCAGACATCACGGGAATGGCTTAATGAATTCACATTTTTAAGTCTCTTAATCTTCATCCTCAGAGGCCCTCTTGCTTTCTAACAAAGCTTACTTTTTGTTTAATGTGCAAGAAATAATCTTGCTTGATGGAGGATTTTCAACTGCTGCATAACCTGTCAGGCTTATTTCTGTCACGAGTTTGCTGCTGCTGATTTTGGCTAGCTTTCGATTGAGTGTTTTGTAAAGGATAACAAGCCTGTTTTGTTTTTGAAGACGGAAGAGTCGAGGGTTCTGGATGCCAGTAAGAGCACCTGAGGTTTCTGTGTTTTGTCATCATGGGGCCTTATCCTGAAGCAGTGACTGTGCACCTGTCCCTTATCCTGTGGTCTGGAGTGTGTGTAGTGATCAAGATTGCTTCTTAGTGATTATGAAGCTGAAGTTATTTTAATTTGGACATTTTCTAGCACTGCCCACATAATGTGTTGAACATAACAAGAGCGTGTCAGTTTGCTTTTGCTGAGACGCAGGTAAGGCAGGGACAGGTTGGTGGGTGAGTGGGTATGTCTTTTCAAACTGAGCTCTTTTTCCAAAATGCAAGGTTCTAATTAATTCCAGTGCCTCAATGTAAAGATGGCAAGAGTGGAGCAGAGAGACCTCGTCCTTTTTCAATTATGAAAAGAGCTTTCTATTTATCTTTGTAGATGCTGGGAAGGGAAACCATGTGTTTCTGTATCTTAAATGTTGAGCTACAGCAAATCTATTGACAGAGGAAAGAAAGAGATAATGAACCTTTTACCCTCATAAAGCTTTTTTGCATTATATTCTGGACAAACGTTTCTTTAACTGTCATCTAAATAAGTAGAAGACATATCTGGATAAGTGGAAGTTAAACTCTTGTACTTCTAGTAGGCAACTGCTGCTTTTTAAATCAGCAATTCAGTTTTCTGTGAACAGTGTCCCTTTTCCAAGCTCCAGCAAGAACAACTGCTGCTGGACCAGACCCTGAGGGTAAAATCTGCCACTCGGTCATCTGACAAACGAGACTCCTTGAGACAGACTCAATACAGTGCTATTTAACACTTGCCTTGCGTCTGAGTTCTCTAGTAGCTTTTCTTTTCCAATAAACTTCATAGCTTAGCATAGTCTCCGTTGGTTTATAAATACCTAATGCCTGTCTGCCTGAAGCCCGTAGTGAAAGAGTATGGCTTGGTGGGAAGCTGTGGATAAGAGATTCCTGTTGTCTTACTTTAAAATAGCACAGCAGCAGCACGAAGTAAAAATACCTGTTATCACTGTGCAAGAATGCCAACTAGTTCTAGTCCCCGAATAGCAAATCTCTAACACCGTGTCGTGGGTAGGTTGCCTGCTGAGTTTTACTCGAGTTCAAGGTGACCTCTGAATGCATGTGGACATTGGTCCCTTTTCTCTGTGTCAGTGAGTACTGTCATTGAATCATAGAATTTATTGGGTTGGAAGGGGCCTTTAAAGCTCATCCAGTCCAACCTCCCTGCAGTGAGCAGGGACAATGTTACCAGATCAGGTTGCTCAGAGCCCCAGCAAGCCTGACCTTCAATATCTCCAGGGATGAGGCCTCCATTACCTCTTTGGGCAACCTGTTCCAGAGATCTAGCACCCTCATATTGAAGAGCTTTTTCCTAATATCCAACCTAAATCTACTGTTTTCCAGTTTAAAACCATTACCCCTTGTCCTATCACTACATGCCTTAGTGAACAGCTCTTCCCCAGATTTCTTATAGGCACCTTTCAGGTATTGGAAGGTCACTGTAAGGTCCCCCTGGTGCCTTTTCTTCTCCAGGCTGGACAACCCCAACTCTCAGCCTGTCTTTGTAGGAGAGGTGCTCCAGCCCTCTGATCATCTTTGTGGCCCTCCTCTGCACTCGCTCCAGCGCTTCCATGTCCTTATGTGTTGGGGACTCCAAAGCTGGACGCAGTACTTCAGGTGAGGTCTCACCAGAGCAGAGTAGAGGGGCAGAATCACCTCCCTAGATCTGCTGGCCACACTTCTTGTGATGCAGCCCAGGATGAGGTTGGCCTTCTGGGCTGCAAGTGCATGTTGATGGCTCATGTCCAGCTTTTCATCCACCAGTACCCCCAAGTCCTTTTCCTCAGGGCTGCTTTCCAGCACACCATCTCCTAGCTTGTATTGGTAAGAAAGATTGTTCTGACTCAGGCACAGGACCCTGCACTTGGCCTTGTTGAACCTCATGGGGTTCACCTGGGCCCACTTCTCCAGCTTGTCCAGGTTCCTCTGGCACATTAACCTCACCACCCAGCTTGGTATCATCAGCAAACTTGCTGAGGGTGCACTCAGTCCATCTCGATTATCTGTGGAAGTGTGCTAATGCATAACACTTTTGAGTTGCAGTCACACAAAAAAGGTTCTTATTGAAGAGCTCCAGTCTTCTGGTTACATCTGAAATGCCTGATTTTGTTCTTTTCAGTCTTTTTCAGAAGAACATCCTAAGCCGTTAGCTGTACCTTCTGCAGTTTTGCTTCGCTTCCATAGAGAGTCTTTAGTAGCTTTTTAATTAAGTACTTTCTGTGTGGATCTTGGATATTTAGGAATAGAAGGGAATCTTCTTTAGCTGTCAATGTGATTTAAATGTATGCTACCAGACCATTTCTCACTTCTGTCACCATGTTTACTGTAACTGAGAGGAACTCTGCGAGGATGCTTTATTTTCAACACAGAAGACACCATGAAGATTGCAACAGTTGGAGTCATCTGAGCTGTCAGTGGAGAGCCTGCTGGTCTTTGCTGGCTTTTGGGAAGCAGAACTGATACACATTGGTTTTGGTTTGTTGTTTTGGTTTGGTTTTTTTTTTATTATTGCTCTGAGAATGTGGAGCGACAACTAAGAACAACAACAGTTTCTTAAAATAAAACGTGAAACATTTTGAAATGATGTGTCATTGCAGCTTTTGTCCACCTGTTGAAAACTTTCTTGTAGTGTCTCGTCAGCGGATTTTTCTTCTGTTAATTTGACATTTGTTGTTTGGTTTGGTTATGTTTTTAAAGGTTCTTAGCATTTTCCCTTTTCTCTTTCGGGTCTTTTTTCATCCAGCCTGAATAGCGTTAGCCTGTTGAAACACTCCTTGATCTGAAACCATTTATTTTCCATAAATGAGGCCATACTTCAATGACTTACGGAGAACACTATTCAAAGCAAGATTCTCAGGCTGACAGGGAGAAGAGTTTGATATTGCTGAGCAAAGTGTGACCTTTTCTGCCTGGTGAGAAGTAACTTGCTTTTCTCTGGTTGTGAGCAAACCTGGAAGTCTTTGTGCCATGTTGCTTCTCACAAGTCATGGGCTTGGGACTGCTGTCACAGATGTTTGGGTTTTTGGTGGAGGTTTTTTTTTCTTCAGATCCCACAGAGATGGTGACTTAGGTATCAAAAATATTTTATTAAGGCATTTTTTTCTCTGTGAGCATGAGTTTTTCAATTAGGCTTCAGTCACTATGTTTGTTTAGGTTTCCTTCTTCAGAGAGGTGCATCCTTACGGGATCCATACTACCCTGTTAAACCACCCTGAACTGGGAGCAGCAAAAGCTGCAAGGCAGCTGTTTATGAGACTGAGTAGGTGACACTTTTGGTGAGATACAGATTGTGTGTTGCTTGTTCTTATATTTCTGATGCTAATTCAATACAGAGGAAGGCTGACTGATGCCCTTGCCCATGTCAAATCTGTTTCAGCAGTGTCACTCCTTTTTTGATTTTGGTGGTTTTGGTTTTTTTTCTTGGTCTGTGTTTCCTTTGCCCGCAGACGCTAGATTAACTTCTTACATATGCTTGAGTAGGAATAACTGATGCATGGTAGCTGGTTGTGATAGGTGATATAAGCAGGAAACAGTCTTGTCCCATTTCCTCTGTTTATTGAGTTAAAGGTTAAGTTATGAAGCAGTTTCTATAGAGTTCTTGTTACTATCTTGCAATACGAAAAACACATCAGCTTTGATACCCATAATTTTTTTGAATGCTTTGGAATACATTCACCTCCAGAAGTTCTCTTGTGTTTAGTGTGATTGTGTGACAAAACAGCTGTATTCCTAAAACAGAAGACAATGCAAAAGGCTTAGCTTACAGCCTGTAGCTCAAATTAGGTCAGTGTTAGAGCTAGGTTTAAATTCTCAACATCTTTTTCCTTCCGTATGAACTTAAGCCACTCCTTTTCTGCACTGACAGCTCTTTGAGTGAATAAAATATCTATTGCTTTGTTACCCAAAGGTAATTAGTGCCAGACAGTGCTCTTATTCGTAAGCATTCATACTACTTACAGACATCAGGTATGTGCTTAGTCAAATGTATTCACGTTTCTTTTGCTAAAGAAGACAACCTGTAGTATTTCTAGAGTTCATGTTTTGTAAGGTAACAAACTAACCTTTTGGGTCTGCATAAGAAGGTTGGCTGTAGCCAACTCATATGTCAGAGCTTTAGTGAATGTGCAAAACTTTGAGATAAGAATGTTAAAACTTCACAAGAGGACTTACGTTTTGTATTAAAAATGCTCAGGTGTATGGGTCAGATGAAATAGAGTAGCTGCCTTATATGGAACTCTTTGAGCATCTGATGTGAACACCGCCACCCTTGTGAAAAATGTCAGGAGATTCTTAGTGGGTCTTAAGGCTTTTGGGTGTGTTTTAGCGGCACAGATCCCCTGCCTCCTTCAGCCCAATCCTTCTTGCTGACTAAACCTGTCATACTGATCTTTCAGCCTCCCTGAAGGCTGGTGGTACTCTTTATGTGTGAAAAGGATGTGAGAGAGAAAATACTGTCTGAGACTGAAATGGAGTATAAAGCTGAATCAGCATACCACACTAACAAATACTGTTTCAGGTAGAAGCTTTAGTGAAGTCTACACTGAGTCTGCATGGGAAGATTGACTTCCTGGTGAATAATGGAGGGGGCCAATTTGCAAGTCCTTCTGAAGCCATCCGTGCAAAAGGCTGGAATGCTGTGATAGACACAAATCTGACAGGGACCTTCTACTGCTGCAAAGCAGGTAAGGACTGAACATGAAGCTTTTTTTGTTTGTTTGGTTTGGTTTTTTACAGCAATACCAGAAGACAAGAAATGTAACATTTCCCTACCTTCTTTTTTCCCACACTTGTCAGACAGCGGATATTGGTTTTCATTAACCTCATCCAAAGCTTTACATTTACTGTACATTACATTTGTTCATACATACAGATACATATTTAGGCAAGTATGACCTTCTGGTTAAGGCCAGGTTTGGAGAGTCAGTTGGCTTGGATATTCCTTTAAAGGACTATAGGAAAACCACTCAACTTCTGTGGCCTGTATTCTCTGTGTAATGCAGGGAAAAGACTTATTTCGTATCAGGGGTGTAGATTTGAAGTTAAATGTAAGTATGATACATGATTCTCAGATAGCATTAGGAATATAGAAATGAAATTAATTTACATGGAAGCATGAAATCTTGATTTCCACCAAAAGGCTTCTTGACAAACATTGAGTGTTACCTGGACTGTCCCTATTACCTCACCAATCCAGTGGTGAGTTTAGATTGTTTATCTAAATCTGCACAGGAAATGTGTAGTGTAATTGGAGTTGGCTTCCAATTGGCAACCTCATTTGTATGCATTTCTTCTGATATTTATAGGCTATCTTCCTCCTTCATACAGTGTACAATGCCTGGATGCAGGAGCATGGAGGAGCCATTGTCAACATTACTGCTGCCGTGAGAAATGGGTTTCCTGGAATGTCGTAATATATATTTTATTTTATTTTATTTTATTTTTACACTTTCCTATATTTTTTCTCTAGAAGTACTAATTGCTCCTAAATATTTAATTTTAGAAAGGTGTGCACTGGGCAGTGCCAGAGTATAGAAATACAGTGGTTAGGTCAAGAGAGAACAATGTTATCGCTGGGCTGTATGTGTGGAGATCTCTTATTAATTCAGTAGATACTACAGGAGTAATGACATCTCTGGTCTCTTATCAACTTGTTTGTAAGAAACTATGAAGCTTTCACTAGAAATGGTATGCTAGTGGCACTGGTTGCACTGAAATGTGTCCTTTGTGTGTTCTCTCTCCAAATTTCTGGAGGGTTTGCAAGGACTTGACACCTGTTGTTTTCCTCCTCTGCTGTCAGTTTACAGGTCTTGATGGTGTAATGAGTTATGGGAGTTGGACTGGGAGTAGGAGAGCAGGACGAACATTTCTAGTATGTTATCACGTTTTGACTTTGTCCCTCTGGTCACCATTTTCCTTTTAACCCCTACTTTGTAGCCATCTTGCTTGTAGAAGGTCTCTGCAGAGAGTCAGTTCTATTTGCTCTGCTCCTTTCTTTACACCAGTGGTCACAGCTGTCTGCACGAGAATGCAGCATCCTCTCTGTATCTGCGTGTGTATATTTTTGTTAAAATTTCTTTATACTTGAAATGGAGGTGAGCACGAGTCTTCTGATGTGAAACTTCTCTAACAAAGAAGTTCCAATTTTTTGAAAGAGAAATAATGCTTAGAAAAGGAATTGTTTCCGTTGTTTTCTTTTCAAATGAAATTCTGAAGCTGTCAGCTTCTTAGCTGAAAAAAAATTTGAATTTCTTCTTTGAAACTACCTTTTTTAACTTTGAAATTTAATTTCTATTGAGGAACATATAAATATATAATTTGAGCAAATACTGCATTACCTCTCTTTGTCCTGATTCAGGGTTGAAAGTTTTCAAAGCTGCAAGCTTGTTCATGGTAGTGCAAAACAAATTTGGAGATCCACAGGGTGGTGCTGAAGCTACAGTTACCTGAGTTTCTCCACTCTGGTTAAGTCTGGTTGAGTTGTCACAGCAAAAAGGCTGAAGCTGTATTTGAGAGTTGGACCAAAAGGTAAAAAATCTAATTCTGAATAACAGTGCAAAAAAGTTTTCTAAATAACTGCTGTGTGTGGATGTAGATGGATAGACAAAACTACTTTCAAATTGAATTCCTCTTGAATTGATTTCTGTTTTAGAAATGCACTATTGAAAGAGACGTGCCTTTACAAGTCCAGTCATGGCTCGTGTCAAAAATCAACCGATACGTGTTTTCATAAGTACTGATTTCAAACACAAAACTCGTCAAGTTTGTTTGCACCTAATGTGCCTGGAAGTTAGTTATTTCTGGCCTAAACCTACAAACAAGTCAGGTTTTCTTTTGTTTTTAAGTTTTTCTTATTCCTTTCCTGGTGTTTGAGAAGCTATTGTATCTATCTCCTCTCTGTCTGTTTTGATAGGCTAAAGAGGCTAAACTGTTTTCTCTGAGTCCCGCTGCCTGCTATTCATCACTGCAGTAATTTTGTCTGCATTTATTCATGCTTGTATTAATTTCAGACTAGTTTCCTATAGCACCAAGATTTATGAGACCACTCTGCCTATTGTCGTCTCTATGTTAATCTACCTATAATTTTTGAACAGTGGCTAATTTTGATCACTTTTGCCAGAAGATCTAAACTATTTTTCAGACCACTGTCCTTTCAAGTGTTGCTTTACCTGTGCAGCCTACCTTTTGTAGTTTTACACAGTTTGAACTTTGCCTCCAGTTGTTTTTCTTTTTACAAGCCTGCTTCTGCTGTAGAATGTAGCTGACCTCGTGTCGCATTGGGGAAGTATTTCCAGAAACGACAGGAAATCACAGCATAGCTTGTTTAAACTGCAAAGCTACAGTCAAACTTATAAACTAGAAAAATCTTTCTGAGTTCGTTGGTCCAGCCATACAGAGCTACACCGACTACCTTAGTAAGGCTGTGGTAGAACTAACATTGGGTCCTGTTAGCTGAGGGAACAGATGCTTCTTTTGCTTTCTTTTCTCCATAGGCACACAGGAGCTGCAAGAGCTGCGGTGAATAACCTAACCAAGACTTTAGCTTTGGAATGGGCCCACAGTGGAGTGAGAATCAACAGTGTTGCTCCTGTAAGTCATAGCAAACAATCTGATTAAATTTAGCCATTGTACGTGTTCCTAGTTAAAACTTTCAGACCAAAAAGGATTTTAAAATCTATAGCCTGAAACTGTTTGTGGATTATTTATGTATGTGTGGATTATTTATGTATGTATTTATTTATAATCTCCTCACCTACGTTCTTCAGGTCATTTGAGAGTGCGTTGTACTGCTTGTATGATGAGCCAGAAATGTGGGGTAAAATTGCTCCTGCTTTCTGCTTTGACTTGGCGCTCTTGCCTTTTGTTTTGTTTGGGTTTTTTTCTTGCTTAATGAAATGATACCTTAGAGGAGTTGGTGATCTGTCTGACACACCCTGGACATATAATTGCCAAATACTTTGTGTTCCAGTAATGACTACGTTATTTCTGAATTCACAAAACTCTTTCTATTTGAGGTTCAGGTATGCTGGTGGTTTTCGCCTGTGTTTACAAAGTTGTTCTGAAGATCACTGAATGTGTCACATAGTGTATTTTACTTTGTCTTCTACATGCTAAGTTAGATCAGTTTTAGGCATAAAAAGACTCTATTTGGAGTGGACCTTCTCTCAAAAAAATTGCATGTAAAAATGTGTGTTCTGATTGTTTTTTTTTCTTATCAAATACATGCAGACAGGACACCAGTACACAGGTCAGCTAAAATATGCCTGTCACACTTCTGAGGAAGTAGGTAACATGTAGCATTTGTTTTAAATAACTGTATGGCAAGAACAGATGTATTTTCTGGTACCTGGTGCTGCAGATAGAGGTTATAAAGAAGCCCTAGCTTTTAGATTTGAGATTGTGTGATCTGTTGTGATTTGTGTTGTCTTCACTCTTAACCAAAATTCATTTTGCACATTTAGTCTCTTGAAAATGAAAGAGAAAAGGTAAACTTTGTCCAGCTACTTCTACATTCAGAATGTATCTTAGCTCATAGAGTACTTAAGTGTCAGATCTGTTTAACCAGTGCCTAGGAAGATCTTTTTGCTATCTTTGTAGGACATCCATATATCCAGTTGTGCCTCTTGTCCTAAAACATCTGCCTTCCTTTCTCTGGCATAGCACAGAATGCTTAATGGCAGATGTGAGGTGATCATTCAGGTAATGCTCTTACGTAGCCTCTGTTAGTCCTAACTCATCTGGAAACTTCTTAAATATTAAGATCTACTGGCTTGTTTTTCCTGTTTATTTGGGTTTTTTTCTGATTTATCAAGTCTTGGGGAAGTAAGTAATTAAGGCAGCATTTCAGGCGTGCTAATTACCTAATGAATCATACTAATTATATTTTACAGCACATGTGAGAAGAAGATTTTGACAAGCAAACACTTCATTGTTTTGGCTTTTTCAGAAGTATTGGCTAGCTTTGTTACTGTGGTGGTAACAAAATTCCATGTTACAGTTACAGTAATACTTTATATCCTTCTGTCACCTCTGTGGGCACGCTAGGTCTAGGGTAACCATACCAAACTGTTACTGCTTTACAGGAGCAGAGTAACGTGTAAATGGGTACACAGAGTGGAAAACATGCATTCTAAAAAAAAAAATTAGTTTCACATATGAATTACTTCCCTAGCTCCCAAAATACAGTCACATTTCACAGATATCTTAGAAATCTTAGGATGGATTCAGATGTTGTTATCTTACTTAAACTTGAGTCCCAAAGGTTCTGTCATAACTAACCTATGCAACCCTGTGTTCCTATTCCTGTAGCCTTCATCTTCCCTCTGAGGTCTCAACTGGGCTGTATAATCATCAGAGCAAAGATAGTCACCTTTTTCCGTTTCTATAGCAGCTAAGTAGGAAGAGTGAATCGACTGTGAAATCTGCTTCCATAATTCACAAGAACATGAATCGAGTGTTCTTACAGATGACTGGGAACTGTTGAGAACTTGTTCTTGGGGCTTGGTAGTTTTCTGCTGTAAGCTAGTATGAAATGCTTGTTACTTCAAAACAGTCTTTGAGTTTCTTCTTTATACTCTCCACTTCATAGTTACTGCAGTGAGGGTAGAGAATTGAAATAATCTGAATTGTTGTGGTTGAACAGAGATACAGCTAGCAGCCAAATTACCTTCTTGGATAAATTATACTATTCCATTAAATTTTAAAACATTGCATTCAAGTGCTGTTTAGAGAGTTTAATCCCACAGAAAATCCCAGTAATTGCAACTTCACAATTTTACAATGATGACACTTTAAACATATGCAAAAGAACTTTTCACTATGCTGTTTTAAAACAGGGAATAGTATTTTCAGAAACTGCTGTTGCAAACTATGGAGAACAAGGGACCATGATGTGGTTAAAGAGCATACCAAAGGTTCCTGCCAAGAGATCAGCAGTTCCTGAGGAGGTAATGTACTTCAGAACATTTGTGATGTTTCTACTTCGGTTTTTCTATTTTGAAGACACTTTATTATATGGAGAACAACAAAAGGAAGACTTAATTTTGCACAATGACGGAATATTAAAAAAGAAAAAATGTAGTAATGTGTAGTGGTGCCAAGTGGGAGACTTAAGCAGTAGTCACTGTTACAGTGAAAATTGAATTTAGATACTTCTTACAGCTAAGGTGTTTCATAGTAGACAGTAGCTCCTGAACAGGGTGACTTCCAGCAGGGAGCACTGAAAGTGAGAATATTAATGTGCAAAAAGTGTGTCTTAAAAGTACTTAGCTCTCTTCCATCAAGAATGTGCATCCGTAATAAACTTGGTCAACTTTCTTGTCTGATTTTCAGCATCTGATGCTGATCTTTGAGAGCTTACTGGTTTTCTTATGTATGTGATGTCTGTGACTGGAAAGGGAGCTTTAAGACTGTTATGGTTTTCATTACTGAGTAGAAAATGTTGCTATGTCTTGCCTGTAGAAGTTTTTACAAACGTCTTTGATATGAACAATTCCCAGCAGTTTAAGAAAGATTAAAATTGTCATTCTTTTGTCAGATCTCTCCTGCAGTGTGTTTCTTACTGTCTCCAGCTGCTTCATACATAACTGGGATAACCATGGTCGTGGATGGTGGCCAAAGTTTATATAGCCATACCCTAGAAATACCAGGTAAGAAATGGGCTACAAAATAATGCCTTTCCAGTGACTGAAGTTGGGCAACGGGAGGACACGGAAGTAAAATGCCTAGTTCCTTAGTCAACTAAGTGTATTGTTTTATTTGTTTTCCTCAGATCATGACAGATGGCCCTCACCACCAGAAGGAAAAAATTCTGAAATGCTTAAAGAGCTTCTTTCTGGCAAGTTCAAGCCAAAGCTGTAAAAGAACGAGATTTCACTGTATTCCCAGTGGCACACTTGCTGATAATTTCGCTTTGTGATTTGGTCTTCTTATTCTCAGTAACATATTTTTTTTGCTCGTGTAGTTCCTTGATTTTTCATTGGTTTATATTTAAAAATTGAAAGGCTGTACATAGTAAATTGCTTCTTTGAAAGCATTGCCCTGAAAACATTCAGTATCTTGGGAAGGGAAGCTATAAAAGACACATTCTCCATTTGCACAGGCATCAAGTGATGAAGAATCTCAGAAGTGAATACAAAAATACTTATTTTAAAGTGAAGGGGGCAGAGAGGGAATGTTCTGGAATCCTTCTATTCTGGGTGAATCTGGAGAGAAGATAATTTAAATTAATGTCATTATTAGTTGCATCAGTAACCCTTGAGGTAGCTGTTAGCTTTACACTATTTCTGTCCAGTCACACATGGTGTGTCCAACAGTGATTTTAAAGACTGAGTAGAGTAGGTATTTCTCTGAAAAGAATGAAAAATAAGGCAGAATGCTGTTGTTAATGTTTCAAACTAATACGGCGTATCATCTTGGGAATGCTTTGAATTGTTTGCAGATATAATGACATAATGGAGTTAAGCTGGCAGTAACTTAAATTTGATAATAGGATAATCAGATAACAAACTTAAGCTTTGATATGCAGCGATGGAAAGCAGTACAGATTCAACAATTTAACATGCAAAACCTTGAAGCAAACGCTGTGTTGTATCTTGCAGTGCTTTCTGCAGCGTGCTGTACTGCTAAAGGAGAAACTTGGAATCCTCCATTTACCAGCTGAAACGCTTTCTGTCCATACTGTGTTGTCTTACAACATTAACGCAATTTTGTTCATTGGTGTCTCTAAAATAGGTGTGTTTTTTGTAATCAATGCAGAGAATCCATTTAAAAAACAGAAGTCTTGCAGTATTTTGCTCAAAGAGGCCGTATTTGTCATGACACACTGGTTTTTATTCACTTTAAGGGAAGTATTTCCATGTCTGATAACTTAAATCGAAATACAAAAAATAGGTGGTGACTGTGTTTGCTGTAACAACTGAAATCTGTGGAATCATCATCATCATCATGGCTAGACTTTGTGAATGAAGATAAGAGAAGGAAACTACCCACCCTTGCTGCCAGCGTGCTGATGGCTAAAAAGGCCGATGTGGGATAGGCAAGTCCAGTTGCAAAGGGCACAGCAGAAAGTCTCCGTAGACGGTACTGGCAAGGCGCAGTTCTTTCTGCGTTGTCTTTTCTCCTCGAGACTGATTCTACGTGCGTTCTCAAAGGAGGCAGCAGCGTCATGAATGGTGTCTCCATGTCTCCTGATGGGAGGCCAGGGTGCACCACTGATGGTAGTCAGTATGGCCAAAACTGAGGTGTTGTTTGCTGACCTCTTTAATACTTCATTTTTAGATTGAATGTAAGAGTCTCTTCCAGTTGTTTGCAAAGATGTTTGACTGTTGTGTCTTCCATTAAAATGTGGGAACTCACACAGGTACACGTAGGCTGGTTTTTTCATGAAAATTTGAGTGCCCTTTTTGGGGGGAGAGGGAAGAGGTTTGAGCCAAAATGTTTTCTCCTGATACATCCTTTTCCTTTAGTGACTGATAAAATCAGTTTTTTCAAACCTCTTGTGCAAGGTATATTTTTATTATTGCAAATATTAGTTCAGGGTACACAGCAAGAGAATTCCTGGAAGAAAGCGCACCTATGAGATACCGAACTCGAGAAGCCTAGCCCATGGCGTTGAAGTGAAATTACTTAGCTTGTTTAGAGATTATTTCTACATTCTTAACATCTTTCTGTAAAAGAAGGTTAAACATGAACAGGCTTGAGACTTGTGGAATCTGCTTTCTCTTCATATTTTTAGTGTGAACTTCTGTGATATGTGTGGACTGCGGATTTGATGTGAAATGGAAATTTGATAAAACTCAGATTACTTTATTATATCGCAGAACTGTTCTCTACAGGATTCGAGCATAAACTTGGAAACAATTATTTTATACTGTTGCAGATTTCCTCTTTAACTTTGCTGGAGTCTGAGTATTTATAAAGAAGGGTTTATACATGATGGTGAAATGCATCACTCATCTCAGTGAAATGTAACATTAGAAAGGTGGGAGACACAGTCTGCAATTAATAAACTCCTCCACAAGTAAGAGCTATAACGAACTTTTCTGCTCACACTGAACACAGGGAAGGTTTAGTTGACCTTGCACCACTTCCAGCAAAGCAGTGGATGTATTAAGAAGGTCTAAGCTAGTTTTTTGGAAGAGGCTTGTTCCTGTGTGTGGGGTTTTTTTTCCCTGGCAAGAAGTTTGAAGCAGCCAGCATTTGTGGACCTGTAATGCACTGCAGCTTGATGCAACAAAGTACTCCAGGTGTAAGAGTACAGAAAATACATCCTCAGAAAGAGAAAAGAAAACATCAGTGTTACCTGCTTTTTTCTTTGCTTTTTTTCTTTTCTATTTCAGTAACAAAAGTAATGTCCTCCATGTGTTGAGGCTTATTGTGCACAATATTAAAATGCTTATCACTTTATATTAAGGGTAGTAACCCCTTTGCTTTTTTTTCTTCCATTTTCTTGCACCTGGGAGAACAGGAAAAGTTTAATTCTCAGAACAGGTTTTATTTTGCTCTTTGCCTCTTTGGTCCATTTACATGCAGATTAAAATGCTTTTACAAGTTTTGCAGTGCCTTGCAGAAACGCAGTGTTGTCAGCGGGCAGCGTGAGCGTTTCAGGTTTTTGCTGTTAGTGCTGCAGATAATATCAGCCGTAGCGAAGCTCTTCCTATGTCGCTGTAACAACAACCCTTGATCAAAGGGCATTGAGAGGTTCAAAAAAAATGGGTGTGGTAACAAAAACATCCTTGGCCTGTATAAGATTTGAGTATCTGAAGTTCAGAGAACAGGGCTTGATTTTATTTAATTTATTTATTTATTCTACAATTGAGGTGAATGCAACTGTGGGAAAAGGGCTAAGGAACCTTAGGAGGAATCAAGGAGATTTATTGACCAAACACTGAAACTTAAACGTCTGCTGCGCTGCACAGTTGTAATAAACAAAGAGAAGGATCTTAGAATGAGAGTTACAGTTACCGTTCTGTTAGAAATCTCTTTTCAGTTGCTTTAATAGTTACCTCGGGCTAAACCTGTAGCTATTCTGCCTGCCCCTTATCAGATACTGATTTGACTGATAGATAGGTGCTTATCAACTGCTGCTTTGCTCCACTGCCTGGTGTTATTTTTGAATATGTATTGTAGAACTGTACGTTTATGAAAGCAGTGTTGTTCCATGAGGGGGAATTTTTATCAACTGTACTTGCCTTATGGTTTACAGATACTCTTTGTGTTGAGCTGAATATTGGTTATTTGGGTTATTTATTTAGTGTAAAATGAAGTTTGATTATTCAGGTGTTTTACTTAGTGTAAAATGAAGTTTGGGTTGTAAAAAATCTTCATTCTTTACAGATTAACAGTTGTCATGTTCGCTAAAGGGAATATAGTCTGTGCAGTGTCATTCTGCATTTAGGTCCATTGTCTGCCTTAAGATAGAAACGAACAAATACAAGGCAACAGCTGCTTGTTACAAGCTTTAATGGCTATGTTTAGTCTTCTGCATAGTTGTGTAGAATATTCTGTAGAATCTTGAGGAAAGCATGGTGTTTGCCAGATAGTGTCATTTCATGTACTTCTAATCGGCATCTCCTACTTTACTCTTGCCATCTTGAATAGCAGACTTGTGTTAAATGGCTGAGTAATGTAGGCATTAGGGGAATAATTGTATTAGTAAAGTCAACAGTGCCTGTGTTCTGGATTACTGAATATGCCCGAGTCCTAAAGGTAAATCAGTTCCTTCATAAATTTCAGTGATGGGGTTGGAGTAGACAAACCTATCGGTACTGCTGCCCGGTCTCATTTATGGTGTGCTTTTTTAGAGAAGTGACTCCATGCCTGAATGATTACTGTATTTTTCCCATACTTTGTTCTGTTTCAAGTATTATAGACAAGTCAATAGCTGGCTGGTCTTTATTAACTTTGGAGCTAAGCTTGGGCAGTGGGAATGCATCCTGAAATGCAGAATACTAAGTGTAATGTGAGATTCCAGTCTGAGTAAGAAATATCGTTGCTGGGGGGGGAAGATGAAGCCTCTTAGGAATCGTCCAGCAGTGGTCTAGGACTGTCCTCCCCAAGCCATTTGCTCTTCCTCTGTTTTGGCATCAGCCTCACAGTGATGGTGCATTTGTATTGGGAGGAACTGGAACAGCTGACGTGCGGGCACATGTTTCCTTCTGTCATGGAAAGGGAGAGCAGTATAGCAGACAGGTAGGACTAGCAAGGCTTGAAATAGTACTGTTGTTTGCTCAATGTGTGCGGGGTGGATTTAAGTTTATAAACAGAGCATTGGCCCTCCAGCTGGTAAGGAAAGGGCTCTTCATTATGCTATAACATCCTGGCATCACAAAGTTTGCTCCACTGCTGCTCCCAGAAGCAGCTGTTTTGATTTCATTTATCTGCTCTGTCTCCAGCATCTTTTTCCTTTGCCTGTTAACCCTCTTTTGATTAAAAATATATGGAATTAATAACTTAGTTAACTAAATCCTTTTCTTGATGTAGTTCAAAATATGGTAACATGGTAATACGGTACTGGCTATAGGAAGGGAGTAGTAGGGAGGCAAAGAAATGTGAAGGAAATGGAGGATGATGGCATAGCCATGAAAAGGGGTTGGTTTGTTCCAGTTTAGTGTGTTGAGAAGCTATGGCTTTAGTGTTAACTAATACAGGCACTTGTTATCCTCAAGCAACATGTCTGGAAGGTGAGAAACTCTTACTGCAATGAGGTATTGATTCTGCAATCCAGGAAGAGCCATACTGCCAGATTTCAGTCAATTGCTTGAGTAGACTATCCCAAGATGTGCTTACCGTGTAATTTCCACCCCTGCTCCTCCCAACTTCCATCACATACAGGGCTTGTACTGAATGCATAACTAACTAATATGCTTTATTGCAACTTAAATAACTAATATGCTTTATTGCAGCTTCCGTAATCTATTTTTATACTCCTTTTTTCCATATCAGCAATTACA